ACTTCCTTTCAAAACACGGTTAATTTTTTATTAATTTTATTTTTTCTGGGTCAAGAAAATTATGGCCAAAAGGCCCCAGAAAATTCGACTTACGGAGGTAATCCTACTAATCGGCTTCGGGAGGTTTGAGTTATCCAGGTTCAACTGCAAACAGTTCACAAAATCATCACATCCGCTAAATTCTTCACGTTCACCCCGCGTGAAATCCGTGTTCCTCGTGAGGGCGTTTACACAGTACAGTACTGGATATAAATTTTGCGGAGCTTGTCGGATTTTAATAGCTAGTTGGATTCTTATCAGCTGATTGTTCTCGTTATACCTCCTTTCAGGACGAATCAGAATGACCAATTGATTCCCGAACCGGATGCGTCCATTCAGTCAGTAGATGTGGATGCGGCAGGAAATCTAGTTGCTGCTGTGAATAACAAGGGAATGTGTTATGTTTGGAATATGCGAGATGGGACGCAGCAAACTTCGCGTCTCGTGCCATTGATGAAGTTATCTGCTCATAAAAATTACGCGCTCAAGTGCAAATTCAGTCCGGACTCCACGTGAGTATTTTTTAATAAGAGCGATTCGAAACCATCCGTGTGAAAATGAAGCATGAGAACCAGTGAAAGGGGGAAATTATGCAATACTGTATTACAATTAATCAAAGGCGAACAACAGTTGAAAGTATCTACTGTATTGATGAGGGAATAGGCGATACTATTTTACTCGCTTCGAACGTTTTAGTGAGGGAAATACAGTATTTGACGAGGAAAGGTTTTCAGATGTTCGGCCTGATGTAACCGGGCCTAATCATTGTTCTACGCGAAGAAACAGTTTTTCACAAATCATGTTGGGAATCTCAACGCAGTCGGATCTTGATAGATGAACGCCGTTCAGCGAATTTTTTTCGACTGCTGTACTAACGTAGCTTGCGTTGGTTAACAGAATTCGCGACGAATTTGACTCCTTGCATGATTTTTAAAGTTGAGATATTTTTTTATTTTCAAGATGCTGTTGAATATTACCCGTGTTTACTCGAGCACCACGCGCACATTTTTTCTCAAATTAAAGAAAAGGAGGGTGCGCGTCATAGGCGGGTACAAATTTTTCAAAAATGTTGAAGGATAGGTGTGAATTATACTGGGAAAATTGTACTGAGAAAATTATAAGGGGAAAATTTAGAACGATGTAATCAAAAAACTTATTTTTATGGAAGTTCCTGAAAATGAGTTGAATTCAGGTTCAATTCGTGTCTAAATTCAAATTTGGGTGTTTTTTTCTTTGAAATACTCCACTGTACAATATTCCAGTTTTAGGGTCACTAAAAATGGGTTGGGCATCTTTCTTGGGGGTATAATTTAATCAAAATTTTAGACTGAGAAACCTGGATGCGAGTTTTACGTGATCCCACCCCTCATTTACCCGCAGGTATACAGCCCCATAAAAAAAAGAAGCCCTTTCCTCTTGCTCTTAGCCCGGGATTTTCCCCCTTGAATTTCGAATTGCACATGAGATCTGTGTCCAAAACCAGACGCTGAAGTCTTTGCCGACGGGATATTTTACAAAATCGTCCTGTGAAGACTTCATAGCGTTGTTCCCTGTCCGAAACAAAATCTCTCTTGAAGAGAGCTAAAAAATGTTCTACACGTTCAAGAAAAAAAAGTTAGACGGATAGTCATTCTAGAATGGGTGAGAAACTTCACATGATCACTCCACTCTACTTTTTGTTCAGTTTGGGGCTTGTGTTTCAATTCAGCTACCCTGAAAAACGTATCTTCATTTCTCCGTCAAGAGAATTTCTATTGTTACTGATCGTCAGTCAACCGAGGCGTAGCTGCTTTTTGTATGAGCACAATTTCGTAAATTTGCAATTTTCTGCACCCGCTGTTCAAATGTTTCAGCTTAAAATGTTTCCTCTGATTCTGCAGTATTTTGGCGACCACGTCTGCGGACCAAACTGCGAAAATCTGGAGTGTCGAAGATTTCTCGTTGCAGAAAACCCTCACGGACCCGAGTCAAAGATGGGTTTGGGACCTCGCCTTCACGTCCGATTCTCGCTATCTATTTACTGGTAAGGTTATTCTATTCACTCACTGAGTGGGGTGAAAAATACAGTAATGCATTTTCTGATGATTTCCAGGGTCGTCGGATAATTTTGCCAGATTATGGGACCTGGAATCTGGCACGGTGCAAAGAGAATATGCGGGGCATCAAAAGGCTGTCATTTCTATCGCGTTCCGTGATACAGTCATTGGTTGATTTTATTTTTTAAGATGGTGTAGTTCCGCAAATTTTTCGAATGTTACGTGCATAGTTTCGTTGCCAAAAAAAAAAACATTTTTGAAAGAGAAAGAGTTCTGAAATGATTTTTCCCGATGCATTATTAGAGTGGAAAATCTGGCTTTGAACACCCATCCAAACGTCCTCACAACTGGAGCAAGATTAAATGATTAATAAATTTATTCTTCTCTTGTTTTCTTGAATTAGTTCGCATCTGATCTACCTCACGAACTATGTTTTTGTCTGATGAAACACATTTAAATCATAATCCACGAAATGTATAATTTTATTCTGAGTGAAGCTGTGCGTGCGAAATTTCATCAGTCTTCTATCGGCGTCCTACCATTTTATAACCTCCAACTCCATATCTTTCTATGATTCCCGTCAATTCACAACGTTCAAGAATTCCCGAAGGAATAAAAATGCTCTAGCCATTTCCCCACAATCCATCGGTTTTGTTCTTTCCTCAGGAAAATAAGCAGCAACAGAAAGTGACACAGTAGATAACACGCCATTAAAAAACAAAAAACAAGATCTTTCCACACGAGATTCCCCAATTGTGACCATGAACAGTTATCAGAAATAGATATCACATTTCCGAGAGTCGACGTCCTCGTCCCCCCCGCTCGCACACAATATTTATGCGTCTTCTTCGCAAATCAAACGCAGCGTTCCGTCTCGGTAACAGCAGGCTTCTTCTTCATCCACGGAGGAGGCTGATGGCCAGCAGACCCAGTTGTTGTAGAAATGAGTGCTCATTCGTACATGTCGTCCTCAAAGCCCTGCTTCTTGAGCCGCCCGGCCCAGATCAGCTTTTCGATTCGCGGAAACAGCTCGGACTTGGGAGGACAATCGTTCTGCCGCACGCTGCCGAGAAGCACTTTCAGGAGCAGTTCCGGCGAGACTGGCAAGTGGATCTGGAAAAGTAAAAAAAAAAANCTAATATCTCAAGTTTCCAAAACGAGATGATGAAATAACCGCTAAGCAAACGCAAATGAAAACGCAAATGCAACGCAAACGCAACGAAAACCCAAACGCAAATTTGTCGGACTATCGCGAGGTCTGAACTGGACTGTCTGTATTTATTGGAAATCTCCTTGCTTATATACTGTTTTTTCCGGAAAGTAATCCTTTTAATTTATTCAAGGAATATCCTTGGATCGCAAGGTCTTTTTAGCGTAACGAATTTAGAGGACGTGTTTTCTGGGAGGAAGATCGTGGGAACTCGAGGTCATCCCTCGTCCCACGAGATTCCTTCAGGATTATCGGTCTTTTGCCGATTCCCAGCAAATCTCGTGTTTCTAAACACCCCTCATCTAAATTTTCGACATGCGGTGCTGCGGCAGAATGATTGTACATCCTGTTTTCCAAACCCATATGCATCTATTATCAAGTCGTAAACATGTCATCCGCACTGGTCGAAAAGAGTGCTTGAACTGCAGTACTGAAAAGGTTCTGGAAAAGTGGCAGATTGCCTCACCATCAACGACTTTGCTAACAATGCAAATTGATTGGATTAGGCAATACTGAAAAAACGTTTCGCACTACGGAGCAGTAAAATCCTTCGCGCTAATTTACTTGAACATCAGTCCCATAGGGTTAGGCAACAAACTTATCGGCAGAACTTCAAAAAAAATTAATTATTGCGCATGGAAGATTCTCAAAAAGTATACGGAACTTCGCAACACAGTTCGCTCACACTTGAGAAACTCTGTCACGCACATTGATGAAAAATGTGCACCATTTTTACAAGTAGAAAAATTCCAGATACAGTACAGTGGATCCGCAAGTAACGAACTCCCCATAAATTAGCGAACCTTTTACATCATGAACCCGCAGGCGGCCGCCATTTTGCCTCAGACAACGAACTTGACTCGAGGGAAAAATTCAAGTGAACCTAAAAATCTTCAAGAACATTTAACGCGATAATTTGCGACATTTTAATTTAAAAAATCAAGATTTCATTCTTGCGGGAGATTTACTGTACAAGGGAACTTGAAAGACAAACTATAATTTAAAGTACATTTAAGCATAATTTAACCTGCTATAAATACATTTTCAAGTTAAAATCCTTAATGACTGCTTTTTAAGGTTTGTATAATTCATTTTTAAAACAAATCTCATTCATTTATTAACCACATGAAATTATCATTTAATTCGGCTGGAACGAATCAATTTATTCCCCGAATGTTACTATGGGAAATCCTGATGACTTGAACAACGAACATTTCGAGTAACGAACTTACGACTGGAATGGATCAAGTCCGTTGCTGAATGCCCCGCTGTATATTCATTGTTTGATATTTTTATACGAGTCCTAAAAGGAAAATATGTGATCCATTCCGAACACTCAAATCAGGACAAAAATTGATAGATTAAACCTGTGTGTTTCAGTGACTTATTTGTAAGAAATTGTATGTAATGCATGGAACTTGAGCTTCCGTAAGCCTGTAAATTACTGTATTTGAATCCTCAACTTTCCATAAAATATTTAAAATGGTTTCCTGATGGCAATTTAAAATTGGATTAGGTTTGTTGCTCAAGGCCCCACTGCTGTATATTCCAGGATGAGTTTTTCTTTTAAATGCGAAACATGATTCCCCCCCCCCCCCGAGTTCTGATAGAAGAATATGTGATCCATTCCAAACACTCAATCAGGACGAAAAATTGATAGACCTTAAAAACCTGTGTATTTCAGTAATTTGCATGTGAAGAAGTTGTAAGTAACTTATGGAGCTTGAGCTTTTGTAAGCCTGTAAAATATTTGAACCCTCGACTTTCTATGCAATTTTCAAATTGGTTTCCTGATAATAAAAAAAAGGATTATGGGTTAGTTGCTCAAGGCCCCACTGCGAAGTTTTAAAGCATTATGAAAGAAAATCTTGAATATGGACTCACCAGAATTGCCGAAATGTGGAACCGGCGACTTATACTGCATTTGTTTGGTGAGTTCTTTGTCTGGAACATCGTCCAATTCGTACTCTTTCACGGCAGCGATGAAATGCTTCTTCTCCAAGTCGTTGTGAATTTCTTTCCACACGTCTTCGACGGGTGTTAAGAAAAGCGTGTCTGCGTCCATGTACATGATGTGGTTCACGGATCGTGGAAGAATTTCCTGAAGGTATTCAAAAAAAACACACACACTACATAAATAAAGAAAATAAAGTAAGGGCCTCGCGGAATCCTCAAGAAGTAATGCACTGGTTGACTTACAGTTGAACCTGAACAAATGGAACCTCCCCTAGTCAAATACCTCCCAAGGTCAAATTTTTTTTCAAGTCCCTGTCTGAATCCCCTTGAAAACAATGCATTCAAAACTTCTGTAACTCAAAGGCCTTCCTCCTTCAAACCTCCATACTTTATAACACAACTAGGGGGGGGGGGGGGGGGTCCCCCGCCCCCCCCGCCCCCCGAGACTGTTGTGAGTCGACGACGAAAACGCTACATTTCTAAACACATTTTAGGTGTTAACATTTTGATCAGATCACACATAGAAGAGATTATGCCCAGTTGTGTGGCCCAGTCACACCTCTGTGCATTAAATTTAAAAAATGAATGATACTAAAGCTGGTTACCTATTGTTAATGAACCACTGGTAATGTAGCATTTGTGCTCAATGCACATAAGCAGGGGAATTTTATTCCTTATTACAAACCCAAGGTAATGGGGTTCACAGCCACACCTGAGTGTAAAGCCCTGAAACTGAAAAATACCTAAAAATAGCCCAATAAATGACTCTGTACAATAGCCTATATTTAGCATTGTGTAATGAGCACAAAATGAAAAGAAGTAATTAGGGTTTCACAGAGAAAATTTTTATTCTATAACATTCAAAATAAGAATTGTAAACAGAATGTTGAGCATTTTCTGGATTCCCAGAATCCAGAAAATCTGGCTCTTATTATTTTATGGACACAGGAGAGAGAAAAGCAATTAAAATGTAACTTGGTGGGCTTTGAGAGGAGGTGAAAGACTAATTGGGCACAAAAACCCTTGCCTCCAAGTTCAGCATCTTGTCAACTGACTTAAAAAGCCATTTAAGGCACAGAATAACACCAACTACAGTACAATTCTTCTTTCTTTTCCCCAACAGAAATGCTTGTTTCTTCAGCTCATCTGAAGTCTATTTTTTTGTGGATCCCTTTTGAAGTTTGACTCGAAGAGGTTCAAATGTACAACAACATTTAAAATTGGAAACCAAAGGTGTGTTTGAGTTGAGTGCCTCACATTGGACGCGATTCAACTGCCTCTGATTTTCAAATCACCTAAATATAAAAGTAATGATGGTAAAAAAACAAACTGTATTATGAATGAAAGTGCTCTTGGAAATCTTACAGCCTCTTACACAGTGGGACTCCAAAGAACAGATTCTCCGACATATGGACAATTCAACTTAGGGACACTTGAACCTCAAAAATCTGGCCTGACATTCAGACAATGTCTCAAGGTATGGAAACTTTGCCACCATTAATAGTGGAGGAATGCAAAGAAGTATCCTAAAATTTGTATATGTATACAAGTACTGTATCTCATAAAATTGAGCTGCAGTTATTTGTGAAAATAAAAATGAAGATCTTATTTTGAATCACTCCAAATGATAATCAAAAATGAGATAATTTTGTCTCTTTATTTTCATTTTTTGGACTTTTTCTGTCATTTGTGCACAAAACATGATAAAGATTCATCATTTTTTGTACCTTTTCATGCCAAAGTGGCAGATTGTGTGTGACTTTCTTCTGCTCTTCATTTTCGTTATATATCTCGAAGTTGAGAAGCAAAATTCTTTAAATTTTTGGAAGGACTGTTTCCAAATTATTTTCGAAACAGGAGAACCAATTGAACATGTTCTTATTGAAGTCTACTTTGGAAACGTGAACCAACATGCAGATGATTCAACATTTAAACAAGGTCCAAATAACAATTACGTCCACTTTTCGGGGACCAGCAGTTGATACGCAATTATTTTTTTTTTCAAATGGAGACGATTTTCTGAAATACCTGCATAAAATGAAAACCCGTTTTTAATTATGGCAACTGAACATATTACTCATCGGTCAATGGACTTTTTTCGAAATTGGTTTTCCGCCGGAATTGCAGGTCAAGCATCTTGCATATAGGTTCCATTGATGTAATTATATCCCTATGCTGCTGAATTTTCACGTGAATATTCTTAAAATGCTTTCAAAAGTATACTTACACTCAAAAATAGTTTTTGGAAAGCACACTCAAACCCGGCCTCGGCGCTGTTCATCTTGTTGAAAAGCTGGGTCGTCATGTTCTTTGGCATCTTTGTCGAGTAGAGGCTGACATGCAACCGCTTGAGGATTTCTGCTGTCCACGATGACACCTGGAAAGTTCATATGAAAACAAAATTAAAATGTTCAAGAGAGACAACTTGATCATTAATGACGATCATGCTTCACGTTTCTAAAAGAAACAAAAAAAAGCGTCCTTCACTCTTGAAAAAAGCCTCGAAAAATTGAGCTTTGATTTAATCTTTTTGTATCAGATTTACAATGAGGAATACATGTTAATTTTACCATTATACGGTGAGACCCTCACATGAGGACACCTCAACCTGCGGACAATTCGACATATGGACACTTATTTTCTCATAAAGAATTAATAAAAAAGGCCCAACATGAGGACACTGACTCAACATAGGGACATTTTGTTATAATATTGCATGTACATTTCAGGCCAAATTGCAAGAAACAGATATTTCCAACCCTGAAATTGATAGTAAGAAAAGTTCTTGGACATTTCTCTCACCGATTTACCATCCATTTAGCTAATTAAAAAAAACCTCCAGCAGAGAGGAACATCCTTCTCTCTTTTTCACTTGAAAATTATTTTTACAGCCAACATTTCTATGTATGGTACAGAGGTATCAGTATTCAATTCCCCAAATGTCCATATTGTGTTGTAATATATGGATTGGTTTAAGTTTAAATTGGGAGCCAATTTTTTTTTATGGAATTATGGTGAGTATTTTGTACATACAACACCAATTAAAAATTATATAATGTAAGTCTAAGGGAAAATGAGACTTGACTTAGGGACACTCTTGATGAACTAAGTGTGTCCGCATCTTGGGGTCTCACTGTACATCATACAGTATTATATTGCGACTGAAACATGAGTTTTCACGGATAGATGTCGCTTCGAAATATTGTACTTGCTTATACAGTACAGTATTAACTGATTCATCAAGAAGTCCGTAGACCAATTCGAATGGGAAAATAGAAGTTTTATTGTTAATACTGAAAATTTATGCATTAAATCAAAATTATACTGACTGTGGAGCAACAAATGGCTTCGTTTCCAATGCTCATCAGTTAATCACAGCCCAGATGATCAGAATTCTACTGAATTTCTCGCGATTTATTTTCATTACCGCTTTCTTATTCTTGAAGTTTGATCATTCGTCTGGCCGAGGTCAAAAGGAAATTGGCACTCGTAATTGAAGTTCCGCTGTGAAACTTTAAATTCCATGTGATGCTGAACCTATATAATGAATCCCCAGCGACATCAATAAGATGCATCTCACCTCTCGACGGATTTCTTCCAAATGTTCGTTGTCGCAAATAATATGCACGGAGATGAAATACTCGTCAGATTCCAGGAAAGTCGCAATGGTTCGCAACATTGTCACAATGTTTCCAGTTGCTCTCTTTTTCCCACAGCTCACGGAAGCCAAATGAATCTCGGGGTAGCTTATTGAGAAATAAAAAAGGAGAAGAAAAAAAGGGCAGAAAACCCCCGCCAATTTTGTTGGTGTCAAAATTCTGCACTTTCTCTTCTGAAACCGAAAAGCGGACGTTTCTCACTAATCGTCCTCGTCATCTGTGGCTTCTTCCGCGTCTTGAGCTGCCATCTTGTCCCGAGATGCCCTACTTTGCGTCGTGGCGCCGGTGTCGTCACTTTCCTCCTCTTCATTGTTGGACCTCGGGTCAACCACAGCAGGTTCTTCCTCTTCCGCTGAAAAAAAAATTGGATGAATGGCGTAAAACACATTTCAAGTAATCCGCTCAAAAACGAAAAAAGAAGAAAAAAAACAATGTAGTGAATTAACCCACTTTTCAGCAGCCTCAACAAAACTATACTGTATACGGTCAAACGTCCCCAAGTGAAATTTCAAGGGACCAGACAAAAAAAAAAACAATTGACTTAGGGAAGTTTTGATTCAAGGAGGTTTTGTGTTAGAGAGAACAAGCACTTTTGTTGTAGGGGAACATTAGAGAATTGCATGAAATTGTAAATGATATTCTGAGCCTTGATAAACTGCTTCTTTTATGAGTTGGGAGGAGATTAACTTGGAGGCTGGGGTTCATTTGCCTGATTAGTCTTTCATTTCCTTTCAAAACACATCAAATTACTTTTATTTATTTATTTTGGTTTCCTTTGCTATGTGAAGAAAATAATAGACACAAAGACCTAATAAAAATTGGACTTGCTGAGGTTTTAAAGGAAAAGCCTTCGAGTTAGAGATGTTTTTAATGCATTTTTTCTAAAGCAATTCAGGCGGGGACTTGGAAAAATTCAACTTATTGGGATGCATTTGACTGGGAGTGTTTTGAATTATTGAGGTTCAACTGCTCAAAATAATGACCAAATAACGCTTTTCAGAATTATAAATGTATTGTAAATATTTTACAGATTTATACAGTTGAACCTTGATAACTCAAACATTCCTGGAATATCTCCATATTTCGATTTATTTTTAATTTTTGTCTGAGTTCCTTAAAAAAAGAGCTTTATTAACCTCCCTATAGCTCAATGGTTCCCCTCCTCAAACCTGGGTGACTCAAATTTTCAGTGCCTTTTTGGCTAATATTTTATAACACAAAAAAGAGAAAAGCAATAAAATGTGTAACTTATGATGTGTTTTGAAAGGAAGTCAATGACTAATTGGGCAAATGAACCATTGTCTCGTCCAAGTTCAGCATCCCGTCAACTCATTCAAGAAACAATTCAAGGCCCAGAAAATCACCAAATACAAGTTCCTGTAATTTTTCCTTGATTTTTCCTCAATAAAATTGCTTGCTTCTCTCACTTGAAACCTCCTTAAATTTATTCATTCATGTTTTTTGGCCCCTTATTGAGGCTTGACTGTTGATACAATACTTTGAATCAACTCTTCATTTTAACTTGTCACAAAATAGAAGGATTAAGTGTTAAGTATGCCAGACATACTTTTCTGAGGGAGAGGAAAATTAAAGAAGGGTCACCAGAAAAACCTTCTGACTTTGCCAGCCATTAAGCCTTGTTGAAAACCTGTCGCTGGCAAAAAAAAAAAGCCTTTGACTCTGCTGGCCAGCAAAAGCTGCAAAAAACAGGTCAGGTATGTTCATGGGAATGTGAGAAGACAATGGTAAAAGGGAGAGAAGGGTGCACAAGCAAATGTGATCTGCACCTTCATTTTGTCTGTTTCTCTTGAAGGCTTCTTTTAGACTTCCAAGCTACTCATAGATATTTAAAGGAACGTTGAATAGTTCGTTCAGGAGATGGAGCCCTCATTCCCTGCTTCCATCACTGTTATGATTGATTAGGTTTTAATGAACATTTCTCAGCAATCCTCAAGCTATTTTAAGATGGATTTCACTTTCCAAGATATATCCTGGCCAGTAAACACACTGCAGAACCTGGGTTTGTAACAAGTTGCTCACAAGACAATAAAAAACTAGAAATAATTTTATCAATATCACATTCAATGTCGAATTTATTTAGCTCCGATTTTTGATAACAATAATTTTGCTGTGCAAGGAAAAATGTACGTCGAGTGAATTTAATAGCTCGGCATGCAAACTACGGAATAATCTTTCCCCTCCAGTTTCTAAGTTACTCCGGAATAAAGGGTAAAATTGCCAGATCTTTGAATGCAATTAGACCATGAAATAGGAAGCGAGTAATTTTCTTGCATCAAATGCATAACAGGCTCACATTTCGGAAAACTGCCATTTTCCGTTGCGCGGAATCTTAATTCAAAAATTTTTTATCGTCTTGTTACTCTTGAATATATTTTGCAGACATATTTACTGTACAGGTGCATCAGTACTTGAATTTCCCTGCGCCTGTATTTGGATACAGCTGTGAACTTATACTTGGTGTAATATAAACTACTTTTGGTGACATTCAACATTTCAAATAGAATAAAAATATTACAGTTCAATACAAATCCAAGAGACCTTTCTAGTCGAGTCTGTCTTGTAAAACCTGAGAGTTAGATTGTCGTCTGTAGTGTGAGAAACTCGGTCTGATTCTGCGACTTCGCATCACATATTTCATATACAGATACATTTTAAGATAACTTTAACTGTTGCAAGCTGATACACTGCTCAGAAACTACATCATTTTCGAATGATCCAGTTAAACAGCGTTTCATCTAAACATGACCGTATTATTTCTTCAAGCACGTCGGGAATACTGCAATGGCCCCAATTTGTTTCTGCCAGGCTTTTTTCTTGTGTGTGTGCTTATTTTCTGCATTTCATTCAGGTCGTGTTGATTTAGGTTACAGTAGTTATGTCAAGTCAACAGTACTGACAGTGCTAATTTCGTACCTTTCTAATGGGCTGTGTGAAATGTACATCAGGAAGAATTGGGATGATGAGACTGCAGAAGCTGCGAATATTCAGGCAGCTGTGCCTTTAATGCAAGCTTTTACGCATGATACACCAACATTATTCACTACAATGGAGAAAATAATTACATATCTGAATTCAGTTGTACCTTTGGATAATTAATGTCTAGAATGATGAATTGCTTGCAAAAAAAAAGTCGGATTTCCACAGATTTTTTATTTTATTCTTTAGAATAGTGGACCTCACTTTTCATAGAAAACAGCACAAAGAGATATGTTCTAAAAAAAAGAAATGTGCTGCAGCAATCCTGACCTTCAACTTGATTTGCCAGTGGATTCTAATTTTTCTGTTGGATAATGATTAAAACAGTACAAAAATAAATTTTTCAATTTTTAAACATTTTCAGAGCTTTCTCAGGGCATGGGTTAAGAACTGTGGCTGTAACTGGAAAGTTTTCACTCTTCATCATGCAGTGAATTGAAAAACCTTTCTAAAACTTCGGGAAAAATCCCAGAACCTTAGAACATCAGGGACTATGGCGTGATTTTTTGTTTTACAACCACACCCAATTTAAAAATATTAGAGGTCGCGTCTAACAGGGACTGAAATTTGTCAAGCTAGCTAAAATATTGTTTTTTTCTCTCTAACTTTTATCAAAAACGCAGAAAAGGTAATGAATCAAACAACAATAAAAATGAATTTTAAAGCTGGTCCGACAAATGTTTAGCACCCTGTGATCTGGGTGGAGAACTTGGGCTGCAACTGTAAAGTTTTCACTCATCATCATGCAGTATATTCGAGAAAAAATCCGAGAACATTAGAACAATGTTTCCCAATCTTTTCTGGCCTAATGAAAAGCAAATTTCTATGATATTTCTCACAAATCTGCAAATTTCCACGCACAAAAAATTTGCAGACTCAGCAAGTTTTTTTCTGAAAGACATGCCCAAACTTCAACATTTTCTGCTTTTTTGCAAAAATTAAGTGAAGAACCAATGAAGTAGCTATAGTGGAGTGTCTTCAAAAATGAGAAACGTGTGCTTGACAAAATATTTCTCAGAAAGAAAAATGAATAGAATTTGTTTCAGCAAGTGAAAATTTGCTTGAAGTGTTACCATATTAGGAGAAAACTCAACTACTGTAATATTTTTCATCAGCTAATTTCAACTGCCCGTGTCTCTTAAAAATTTCAAATAAAGTTTACATACACTGGTGCTACTCTTCATAAACGCACTGTATTATGATGAAGAAAATGTCAGATGAACTGGTAAGCTGGTCCGCGGACCATGGGTTGGGGAACACTGCCCAAGAACATCAATGAGGGCTACATCATGATTCCATTTCTGCAACCAGACCTACAGTACAGTGAGACATGAGACCCCCACATGCGGACACCTTGATATGTGGACACCTTGATCTGCAAACAATTTGACATAAGGACACTTATTTTCCTATAAAAAAAAGGCCCAACATGAGGACACTGACTCAACATTGGGACATTTTGAGATAAAATTGCAAATACATTTCAGGCCAAATTACAAGAAACAGATATTTCCAACCCTAAAATTGATGTTAGAAAAGTTCTTGGGCGTTTCTCTCACCAATTTTCCATCCACTTGGCTAATTTAAAAAATTTACCTCCAGCATAGATGGACTTCCTTCTCTTTTTTTTTTACTTGAATGTTATTTTTACAGAGAATGCCAACATTTCTATGCACTGTACAGAGGTATCAGTATTCATTTCCCTAAATGTCCATATTGTGTTGAAATATATTGATTGAATCAGTTAATTTAAATTGGGCAACAATTTTCATTTTCTTGGAATTATGGTTAGAATTTTGTACATAAAACACCAATTAAAAATGATGTAATGTAAGTCTAAGGGAAACTGAGTCTTGACTTAAGGACACTCTTGACGCACCAATTATGTCCGCATCTCACATCTCAGGGTCTCACTGTACTTTAAAATCATCAGAGGTCGCGTCCGAGTAGGACAAACACCTTCATCGCCAGCAGTCACAATAACTCACAGTCTGCACCAGCTTCTTCATCATCCGGTTCCCCGTCTCCGCTCAACGTGTGCACGGGCCGCTTGGGCTTCAAGTCCGCCGGATTCACTTTCATGGGCTGGTACACGGACGCCAAGTCGTCGGTGCGTCCGACGCCCAAAAGCGGCGACTCTCGCACTTCGTACACGAAGATGGTGACGAAAAGCGCCAGAAGGACGCAGATGAGCCCGAACCGCGCCACCAGCTTCATCGTCAACGCGCGGAACACCGTCACATCCCCAAGCGGTCCACTCTTCATCCGATGAGTTTTTTCTTTCTTCTTTTTTTTTTTTACGATACGAACAGGGCGAGTTGCGGAAATTTGTATTTTTTTATTTAGCACCAACACTGCGCGAATTCAGCACCCTGTTTTCGTCACAATTAAGACCATCACGGGATCACTTACTTCGCCATGGCAAATCTGAGTGCAAAATAATAACGAAAATCCATGGATGAATGATTTAGCGCCATCAGGTGAAATTTCCAATTGATTGATAGAAAGTCCTTGTTAACATTCATTTAAAAAGAGAAAAATGAAAATACTCTCTTATGGACAGCGAAACAAACGACAGTATCTCTTCTTATTATAGTAGAATTTTCTTGCAAAGAATAATCATTTACAACAAAGTTATTTTTTTACGTCCGTGTCCATTAGCCACAATTTTAAATGAGACACAGTACTTTATCAAGGATTTTTTGCTACAGTAAAATCTTGTTACAACAAACTCGTGGGGATTTGAGAAAAAGTTTGTTATGACAAATCCTTTTTTATAAAGAGATCTTCAAAGTTTTTGACTGATTGGAAGATTTTTTGAAAATTAAACCTGCATATATTCAACATCTATGTTTTGTGGCCAATTCAGATGTTTTCAGCCTTTCAGGTTTTAAAAACACTGTGATCTTAAATTTTAATAACAAACATTTACTTAGATAAAAGGTAAACACTAGAACTTTTTGATGACTTTAAGTTTTCTATGGAATTCCTTTACAGATTTGTAAGGGTGGATGTTTCAAAAAAGCTTAAAATTTCAAGCATCAGCAGGATTTCTCAAGCATACAAACCACCATGAGTTTTGCTGGGTTTGTTTTTTCTATCTACCTAAATCTTTTCTAACCCAGAAACAATTCGAAAGAGACTAGGATGTGCAGGTGAATTTGGCAGAATTTTTCCCTTGATCCAAACTTATGTCTCAAAAATCAGTCACATTTTGAATGGGAAATTTGAGAATGTTCCTGCCTTCATATGGGATTTTTCATCAAAAAATCACAACGTGTTCCTCAAAAACGTTTGTTGTAAGGGTATTTGTTGCAACAAGATGTTACTGTATAACAAAGCTATTTCACTGGTCCCAAAGGCTTTATTGCAAGGAGATTGTACAGTATACCACTGATTTTGAAATCTGGGAACTGGTTTTTGTTTTGCTGGCAAGAAAGCATCCTAGATCATGGAAATCAGTTGCATATACTGAAGATCTAGCAATTCATGAAACTCTCTCAGATAATGTATTATTAGAGAAGAATACAATATTTTTCCTGTGCATTCCCATGAAATGAGATGAGGATAATGCGTGTCTACCCGTTAGATGCGCCAGTGGAAATGAAGTGCGTCATAAAAAATAAAGAAAAGAAAATTTATCATTCTAAATTTTCATCACCTACGAACATGTTTCGGAAACATCATCTTCTTGCTTATTCTCATTAGAAAAAAATAAAAAATACTGCATTCCACTTAAAATGTCAAAAAATGCGGAATAAAAAAAATCTGCCAAGTTTGATGCCCGCAAAACAACTGAATTAAATTATCCGGGTCTAAAGTGAGCATAAGTTTCTCTTTCAAAGTATCACATAATATGTAGATAACTCAGATTTAAAGCTGAATCTCAGTACAGTAACTCGAATTCAAATATACCTCCGTATAGGCTGAATATTTTTCAAGACACCGTCTGAATTCCCTTAAAAACAGTTTAATTAAAACCTTCCGAAACAACGGCTTTCCCAATAAAACCTTCATACCTCAAAATTTTTGGAGGCCTTTCAGCTATTATTACCACGTTTTTATGAACTCACTTTCTTGTC